AACTCACAGCACCGGGGTCCTGAAGTGCTCCAAAGGTTGCATTCAGCGGCTTCACTGTGTTCGCCTTCAAGCAGTTTCGACCGCAGTCCACTTGAAGGCTCATCGACACCCCGTGATCGGAGCCCTAAGGATGGTAAGTAGCTATATAGCTACGACAGCAATTTTCAACAACAGCCGAAGAAGTGTTCACACACTCTTCTAGTTGTCCCCTAGACCTTCCAGTTTTCCGGGACACCTGGTTTGCCCATGCTAGGCTCCATGCAATCAGGGTGTAGGAGTCCCAAATTTTAAGATGTTTACGTGTCAAACAGGTCCCAGTCATCGCAGTTTTTTTCGCCCTGTCAGGGCGTGTAAGGCAAAAAGGATGTGCGGCAAGGCCCATTCACGTCTGTCAAAGCTGCAGATCATACACTAGCTCGGGCGGATCAGTTTGTCGAATGCTTTCGCCTCAACCCAAGTCTAATGCGGAAAAGAACCGAAAGCCTAAACTCCGAAACCATTCTAAACGTACTCTGCTCCTAAAATCCTCAACATTCATGGCTTGGGCCAGTAAGCAGGCGTCTTCATGTAGCAGGGGCCGCAAGGGTCTCAGGATCATGCCATGTAAGCCTGTGTAGGAGACACTGTAGCCTGCAGTATGGCATGGCTCGCTGCGAAAGCTTGGTTGAATCAGGCCTGCACCGCAGACGCCAGATCGAGCTGCGCGTTGAGAGGGGGACGATGCGCCTGTCGAGCTGAGACAAACCTGAAGATGATTATATATGATCGTCTTTATCATCGTCATGGCCATGATGTTGCTGATGACCCTGGTGATGATGAGATGGATGAGACCGAGGATTCCGATGATGATGCTTTAGAATAGCGAATAGTGTCTAGGTAGTACAACAGTCGTAGGAGTCTGTTTTACAAGCTTCATTTCAAGTGCAGTATACACCCAAGCTCAACAGTTTAGATAGGAAGCGCAGAAAACTACAAAACCACCAACCCATCGTCATGTCCGGTTACTGGTTGATGTCCGTACAGAGCAGACTCACTAGGCAGAATCAGCTGCCGCTCGCATTCCTGTAATCTGTAAACTTCCCCTAAGGGTCCATGTACCCAAATAGTATATACATTGGCCCTAAAGTACCTATATAGGGACTACATTAAGGCCAAAGTATATACTATTTGGGTACATGGACCCTTAGGGTTCTAGCAACAAGCTGAGGAGCATGGGGTAAGACAGCACGTGCTGCAACCCAGACTTTCGAAGCATTACCCTGATCCACTCTCCGCGGGGCTCTCTAGGCTATATCTAGGAAACCCAAGAGGATACCAGTCCCTCGTGCCCATGCCGCGACTGTAGCACTTTTCAACCAATCTGCTGCGCTGCCCTTACGGCTCGTTCTCGCAGAACGGAGCGAGGATTCCGCAAGCGGGCAGAGCCCCGGTCATCCTCATCCTCGATTTCGCTGTCTGAGAAGTCGCTGAGAACCTGGTCGGTGGTGCGGCTTTGCCAGCGGCCGCGGTTCAGCACCTGTACTTTGGGTGCTCGGCTGGTAAAAGTGGATTCGGAGAAGGAGGCCGCACGGGCCGCTCCCGGATCTAAGGAGGCGATGAGCTTGGAAACCGTGAGCCTCAACTTGCCTTTCTGCACGGCTTCGTGAAGATCTCTTAGGTGGATGGAGTGCATGGCCCAGCCAAGCTGAAGCAGGTGGCGCCGGCGCAGCTCTGCCGCACCCGTCACCCGATTCGCTGGCACTGTCAGGTCCTGTAGGTCCAGCACATCGATGAGGTGTCTCTGAGCCCGGAAAGTAATTGGGACACGGTGGCAGCCCACAATTGCCTGGGCCTGGTGTGGCACATGCAGTTGCGACAAAGTAACCGTAAGCCAGGTCTCGTAGCTGTACCTGGCTGCAGCAATCTGCTTTCGCCGCCGCTCTGCTCGGCGTGGCTGCTGGCGAAAATACTGATCCGGCCGCGGGACCTCGAGAGCTAACGCCAACCACTCCTTCACATCCGAAGACAGCTGCGAAGACCTGAGGAAAGGAGGTGTCGTCGCTCCGTCAAGAAGGTCAAGCCCATCTACCACTTGATGCCTGTTCTATTGCAGCCCTCCAGAAGAATAGTCAGAGCTTTATCTCAACTTCTTCCACCCCCAGCAGGTAGGGCGATGGTAGTTTCGAACACCTGCGGCTTTACAGGCTGCAGACTAGGAAGAACTTGCAGGCCGAAGGAGCTCGGTGTTTCCGATCGCCTTGTCATGCAGCTGCCAATGCAATGCCACTTCCTTCGAACACGGGAAGTGCCAAGAAGCTATTTGGCAGGCGCTATCTTTACCTGCTCAAGCGTCTTCCCTCCATCTGTAGACTTCTATTCTGGATCTCGACCCTGCCTGCATCTGGAGCATCTGTCTATATACGACCAGGATGCCTTGTACTATCTGTGTCTGCCCAAGCGTACACTATATGCAGAGATACCGTGACGCTGTGTGCCTGGCTCAGACGAAGCAAACACAGCAAGATACTGTGAGAGACCGTGCACAATCTTGCATGTCACCATACACGAACTTATGCGAAATGGAACCATGGTCAACCTTCTCACGATGTTAATGTGGCAATGGCAATGTGAACGGTGTCAAGGCCACAGCTGACGTTTAAATATCCTTTGTCGTAAAATGAGCATCCGCCCGCCGATCCTGAAGCTGGCGTAGCCCGCTGCCACACCAATCTTGCCTCGTGACGGGATGCTGGAGACGAAAAGATGTAGAGCGAAACCAATACATTACACTACAAGGAGTGGTCCTGGTGTGTCAAAAATGCTCTCTACATAGAGATCTGTATGTAGGTATGCATGCATGCATGCATGCATGCATGCATGCATGCATGTATGTATGTAGGTAGGTATGTATGCATGCATTATGTATGTAGGTAGGTATGTATGTATGCATGCATGGATGTATGTATGTCTGTCTGTCTGTCTGTCCGTCCGTCCGTCCGTCCGTCTGTCTGTGTCTGTATGCATGTATGCATGTATGCATGCATGTGTGTATGCATGTATGCGTGCATGCATGTATCCATGTATGCATTTATACATGCATGTATCCATGCATGCATTTATACATGCATGTATTTATGCATGCATGTGTTTATGCATGTATCTATGTATGTATGTATGTATGTATGAATGTAAGTAAGTATGTATGTATGTATGTATGTATGTATGTATGTATGTATGTATATGTATGTATGTACGTATGTATGTGTACATATTTTATGTATATGTTATGCAGATGTTATGCATATGTTTATGCATGTATGTGTATATACATATATATATATGTATATGTATATGTACATGTATATGTATATGTATATGTATATGTTAATGTATATGTTAATGTATATGTATGTGTATGTGTATATGCATATGTCTATGTATATGTATGTATGGATGGATGGATGGATAGATGTATGTATAGGGCCATGTACAGGAACCTAATTTTTGAGCGCCAGACGAAAAAGCAGAAGTACCAGCAGTAGTGGTGGTAGGGCTGGTGAGTAGCCGTAGCCGTAGTCGTAGCAGTGGCAGTAGCAGTAATTAGCAGTCGGAGCTGGGAGGTAGTATGTGGTCCGCGGTGGGTCGTACTTGACGGTTGTGGGCAATAAGTGAGAAGTGGTGGTGGTAGAAGTAGTAGCAATAATATAAATAAGAATTTTACTAACACTAGTAGTGCTCGTACTAGTGAAAGTAGTAGTAGTAGTAGTAGTAGCAGTAGCAGAAGTAGCGGAAGTAGTAGTCGTAGTAGCAGCAGCAGCAGCAGCAACAGTAACATCAATAGTACTAGTAATAATCGTCGCAGTAACATCAAAAACAACAAACATGGTAGCAGTAATAGCAATGGTACTTGAAATCATAATGGTACTAGGAATAGTGGTGGCACAAGTAATAGTAATGGTACTAGTAACAGTCATAGTGATAGTAAAGTAAGAACAAGAGTAAGAGTAATGGTAATGGTACTAGTAACAGTGATAGTCGTACTAGTAGTAGTAGTAGTAGTAGTAGTAGTAGTAGTAATAGTAGTAGTAATAGTAGTAGTAGTAGTAGTAGTAGTAGTAACGATAAAATGCTACACACGTAATATTTGCAAACAAATGCTTGTCTTTCGCGGCACCAGCGTGGAACCCACGTGAAGGCGTGTTTAGGCTATGGAGTTGGCGTTTCATTGAAATTACAGCACAAGGAGCTTTAGATCAACTACACACACACACACCCTGTCTCTGTCTGTCTGTCTGTCTGCCTGTCTGTCCGTCCGTCTGTCTGTCTGTCTATGCACGCGTGCGTGCGTTCACTTTGGTGTTACTGTGTGCGTGTGCGTGCATACCCGTGTCCGCGTATGTCTAAATGAGCAAGCCTGCAAGTATGCGATATGTAAATGTACATGGATGTCGGTCTGCATCGCATGCTATATGTGCCTGCGTAAGTGCGCACGCATGCACTCCGAGTATGGGAATAGTCACACACAAGCTGGAATCTGATGCTCAGTGATGTCTCCAGTGTGGCCGATCAAATTGGACAAGGATTAAAGCCTTTGTGTGTGTCGACAGCGGAATGCGTGATTTGACATGCGATGACAGGGTGCAATATGCGTTTACACAGAGGCGAATGTGCCATGCTTCCAACTTCAATGAATGAAAACCACCCTCGGCTTAGTTGTCAAAGAGAGCTTGTCGTCGGCACCCCGTGCTTGCAAATCCCGTTGTGTTCAGGGACCCTACAGGGGGTAGGGGGAAGGGGGGTAGGGGGCCTTAATACAAGGCAGTGAGGCCTATTTCAGGAAGTATAGTCCCCTACACCCTAAGAGTCCCTATAATATATCCCCCCCTAAGAGTCCCTATGATATATCCCCCCTAAGAGTCCCTATGATATATCCCCCCTAAGAGTCCCTATGATATATCCCCCCCGAAGAGTCCCTATGATATATACATGTAAGAAACATGCAGGTCTGTAGCTGTGGCCAAGCGGCGGAAATTGCCCCTGCAGGTTCGAATGCCTTGACAGCCACAGAAAATCTGCAAAGTCCCACAAGCTGCCCTATATCTCTCAATCCTAAACTCTTACAAATCCTAAACCCCTAAGTCTAGAACATTTATCAAAAGTGACCCCCTCTAGCCTAGACTCTTATGAATCCTACAACCCGCAGAAGCCAAAGCCCTAACCCCGAAATCCTCATCATCCGCAAAATTGTCAACCCTAAAACCCTACACACACACACACAGACACACAGAGACACACCCACACACCCTAAACCCTAAACCCTAAACCCTAAACCCCAAACCCTAAACCCCAATACCCCTAAACCCTAAAACCCTAAACCCTACTGCATTCGTTTGCTGCCCGGGAGCAGCTCCGTGAGAAGCCCCAGCGGCGGTTCCTCGCCGAGGACAGCACTGGCCCAGGCGAGGCGGAGCAAGGCCCTCCGGTTTAGGGTTTAGGGGTTTTAGGGTTTAGGGGTTTAGGGTTTAGGGCTTTAGGGTTTTAGGGTTTAGGGTTTAGCGGCTTAGGGTTTAGGTTTTGGGGTTTTGGGTTTATTTTGGGGTTTAGGGGCTTAGGGTTTAGGTTTTGGGGTTTAGGGTTTAGGGTTCGGAAGCCCTTTGGAAGCTGGTGCGGAGGGTACTGTGTTATGTTTTACTGGGCAGTTCTCTATATTCGGGTCCCTTTTGGGGTCCCCAATATCGTACGAAACCTGAAAAACAACCCTAATTTAGAGAACTACCCACATGCAAGTATACAGGGATATAACAGTTAAACCACACATCCCTCAAAGGGTTAATACTCGAGTTACGGAAGCAAGTAAGTAAGGGCATCTGAGGTTGGATACTTCGAACTAGCTGTATGTAATTCGGCACAAATCAGATGCCAACTGCAGAGTCAGATTCGAGTCGAGTATGGTCTCGTATTCACTCACATTGCACTGCAACACCGAAACTATCAATTCAGCACGGCCTCTTATATAACGGCCCACATACATCTCCTGGCTAGGTGCTAGAGCCCTCAGTCGATTTCAAACCCTTCTTGGGCCCTCATGAAGAATTGATACTGCGCATCATATTCTCCTCCATAACCCTTCAAGAGTGCAGCACAGGTGCGTTGGGGCCGGGCGTGTCTGGAAGGCCGGCAGAGGCACCTTCTCATGCAACACTGCTTCGTTGCGATTCCCAGTGCTGCAAGAATCCCATGACCTTTCACGTCAATGCCTGGTTCATCACATTGATAGAAGACTCGGACGGGTTGATTGCTCCAGCCCCTTAGGAACTACAGTACGGGTTGGGGAGGAGATGGAGGTCACCAAGACTGTTACAACTCTTAGACTTCTGGGTCTGACTGCCCAAACGAAACTTCGGGGTCCCACGCTCCTCGGAACCATGCCACACTCCGATGCAGCTTGAAGCAAGCCCAAAAGCCCCTTGAAGCCTCAAGCTCTTCACCCCTCTGCCACCTCGTCCTCATGCAAAGGGAGCACACCCTCTGCTGCGGGGTACAAGCGCCTCCTGGGCAAATCCCCAAGCTCGTGCCTCTGCTGAAGGAAGCCCCCGAAAATCAGCATGAAACGTGTACTGCTATACGTATTGTAGGGAAACCTAAGCAATTCAAGAGTATGAGGGCCAGAATATTAACGAGAAGCGGTGCGCTAAGTCTTGCCCTTGAACTCTAGCCAAAGTTGAAACTGGTCTACCAAATTCCACGACATAGCAGGCTCACGAGGCACAGGGGTTATACACATAGATGCATGCATGGATGGATGGATGGATGGATGGATGGATGGATGGATAGATGCATGGATGGATGTGTGTGTGCATATATGTATGTATGTGTATACATATATATATATATCATATATCTACCTATCCATCCATCCATCCATGCAATACGCAAAAAGTCCAGGCTCAGAAGGTCTCGACAGAATCGGCGGTTCCATTCCTGGAGCAGTCACAGGCAAGCAATGCTAGGCTCTCGGTTCAGCACATAGGAGCAAGCCTGGGAAGTGGGAACCTCAAAGCTAACCTCATAGGCAAGAGACAAGAGTGGTCATAGACTTTTTGTAAAGGATGGGGCTGACATGATACAGGGGATCAGATTACTAGATTTGAAGATCACGTCATGCAACGAAGATGCAGCGAGCAATTGCAGGACGACAGACGGAAGAAGTATAGTGCTAGTCTGGAATGGTCTGGATGTGTTCTCGCTCGAGATTCTCGTTCGCTTTGCAGACAGGTTGGTGCCACATACATGCACAAAGCTGACATTGCCTTACATGGCACAGAAGACACAGGTTGCGACTGTCTTCACACTCCAGCAGTAACACTGGCACACTGCGGTGCAGTGCTCCAGGTGGCTTAGTCACACATGTCGCAGTCCAAGATAGACTCAGCGGGCAAGTTGGTCGCTCCATCGAAACGATTCAGAAGATTGAAGTTAAGATACTTGGATGAGAACTGTATAGAACTGCAACAAGGCTCGATTTGCCAGGAGAGTTGTGCGAGGGACCAGGCGAGGTCTGCGCAGGAATCTGCAGACAAACGCTGCAGCTCGGCCTGGCATGTCAAGTTTAGGCTTAGGTTTAGGGTTTGGGGTTTAGGGCCTAAGTTTAGGGTTCAGGGTTTAGGGCCTAAGTTTAGGGTTTAGGACTGGAGTGCATCACGGGAAGTTTTGACTCAATACCCTGGCCCGAATCCACCTGGAACACTGCCGAACCACATTCTCGAAGCCTACACCTTGCACCATGCACTCCACGAGGCCCCCGCAGGTCCAAATCTCACCTACCTTGTACCCTCAAATGAGGGTATATGGTCCCTAAAAGTACGTAGGTATGTTGGGGCCGGATAGAGGGCACTTATAGTCTCCCTCGAAATTCCTTTTTATTGCTGAAACTGCTCAACCATATGGTTAAGGCCCAATGCTGTGCAAATGGTTTAGCAAAACAAGGAGCTGCCATGGAGAGACTACAGGTAGCATCAACATCCCAGAGTCAGCCCAGCCTGAGGACTTGCCACCAGCAAGTCGAGCCAAGCCTCGCAAGCTTGGCAAGAGTTGCTTTGGCGGTCCCGGAGTCTAGAGTTTGGGGTTAGGGTTTAGGGTTTGGGGTTATAGGGTTCAGGGGGGAAAGAAGCCAGCCATCATTATCCAGATTCAGACGCCCACGGTTGGACTTGTGCCAGCAGCTTTGTCTTGCAACATCGACAGCGTCACCATGACCAGCACCAGGTCGGGGCACGATGGCGAAGTCTGTGTAGCTCATGTGTGGAGGGTGCAGTGTCGAAGGCCGACAGGCAAGCCAAGCGAGCAAACAAAACTTGACAAGAATCGAAATCTCTCTCCTTAATCTGACGCCACCGAACACTTCGGTGTGAAGCGGAGACACTGACATAAGCTCATGCATGCCCACATGCTCATTCATCGCAAGTTCTGCTGGAAGAAGGAGAATGTTCGTTCTCAGCCCACAGTGGCCAAACAGCCAGGATGGAATGACCGTGGGGGGGGGGGGAAATTTGGGGGTGCATGGGGGGGTGGGTGGAGTTGGATGGGAGCAGGCAGCACGGCAGAACTCACGCCGAGAATGTTCGCAACCGCAGCTAGGCTCTTGCGTTTCCCACAGGACAGCTACAACTGCCGTGCCCAAACCAGGAAACCCAGGAAACTCACGGGGCTGATGCCGACAGGCTGGAAACGTTAATCAAGCTCGGCAGAAGACGGGATCAGCGAATCAATTTGAACCTCTTTTTGAAGGAGGGTGCCCTTCTCTTCTATCGCTGTTGTAGGTCTGACAGCAAGCTGAGATCCAAGGAGCGGCTCGAGATCCGGCGATGCACACAGAAACTAGTGACCCGGCTCCCATGATAATTACACCGAATGTAGCTTAAGTTATTCATGGCTTATCTATTTTGGGTATAGTCTGAACGGCATGATATATGGTGCCAGACGAGACGGACGTGGGTGACTGGATGCGTTAATTCCAAACCTTTGCTGGTCGTCTTAATCTGAGGCGCTGCACATCGAACAGCGCTTCAGCGCACTTAAAAGGGCAAGTCTACTACACCGTGCATTCCCTGCTTCGAAGGTCATCAACCACTTCGACTGGATAAGAGGTGACGGTGAAAGGGCATGATATCTTCCCCCTCACAGGCATCCTTTGTGAACAGAAGATTCAACAGCATTGAAAACTAAGCCAAGCAAGAAGGGATCTCATGAGAGTGCAGAAGCAGCCATGGAGATGGGAGAGCCCATCCAGAACTGGAGAAAAGAAGGCGAACGCTGAACAGAAACTATGCGAACGATAACGATTCTGCTCAATGTACATGGCTGCACACTTGCCCAGCAGCGCCCTGACATGTCAAGCACTCTAACTAACTACCTCAGTCACACTCCCACCTAGAAATTCTCCCCTCAGCCCTAAGCCCCGTAAATCCTAAATCCCAAAACGACACCCGGCCTGAGTGTGTTGATTCTCCATGCCCAGACAGGCGAGTGCGCGAGCGATAACCACCTGCGCCTGGATTCCCGCAAAACCGTGGCGAGAGGGTTAGGGTTTAGGGCTTGAGGTTTCCAGCTTGCGAGTCCTATATGGGGTCCTGGGTAATGTAGGGGACGTTAATATTTGAAAAAGGGTTTTGGGGTACAGTCTATTGTAATGACTATAAACCATATCCCACAGGCAAACCCACCCCCGCGGACCCTATCTCGCAGGGGTTTTCTGCTTGTTAATCGTCTGAAGATTCAGGATGTTTTGGGGGACGCAGGCTGACTGAGGACATTGTCTTTGAACTCCAGCTAGTAGCTGGCTCGGTGTTTCGAAGCCAACCAGACTCCTCGGGCCTCCAAATCCAGACGCTTGCCCGTGTGCTGGTTGAAGCAGTCCTGCTGAAGGTTTGCCCTAACCTTGCAGGTACCTACTACATAGGGCCCTAGGGCCTCTAGTACCCTATATAGTAGGTACCTGGCAGGTTAAGGTTAGGGATTACATGAGGTCTGGGCTTGCTGTTCCAGACAAGGACCACTACGATGTCAACTTGATCTTGGGGCCTTAGGTCGCTGTCAACCGCAATGCTGCAAAGATACGTGGATGGTGGGCGCTGGATACTAGAAGCACGCATAGGTTTATGACAAAAGCAGGAAAGTTGCCCAGAACCTGGATCTGCTTGTACAGACGCAGGAACAAAAACACCGACTCTTGCGTTTGCCTGCCATGACAGCAAGACGGTGGATTGCTGGGGAAGGGCTTAAATGACACGAAAGCAAGGTGCCGTCAGTCCTTCAAGGCGGATTGCAGCTTGCGTCGTCGGTGGAGGTGTGCTGCGACTTGTGCACGACTCCTGACAATCTCAGCAAAAGATCATGAAAGCACGGTGTTGAGCTCCAGCTCTGCTGGTTGGCCGGGGGCGGGAGAACAAGCTACTTGGATGGCCAATGGCAGTTTTGGGAGAAGGCATGACGTGCTGAGTCTCCGGGCGACATACACCTTCACGCAGCGGAAAGCCCTCCGCACGCAATATCCGAACCCTCAGTGTGAGATGTCGTTACTGCCCCGACCATGCCTTGCTGTCTGAAAACCGTCCACCATCCCGGATTCAGACTCGAACCCAACCCGAAGGGGTGCGGACCCCTCTTGTCCGCCGGGGCATGCAAGATGACACTTCCTTTGCCCTTGGGCCGATGTCTGTCAGCACAGTGCCGTTTGTGGTGCGGTGCTTCAAGATTAAGACCCTTTGGGATCAGGGTCGCGACGCAGACCATGGCGATGACAGCTTAACATGCTCAGGGTGATGGTGGTAGGGATGCTGGAGATGAAAAACTGATGATGATAGCGATGATGAGTACCGTAGCATGATGGTGGTGGTCCCGACATTCATGCAAAACCATGTGAACCTCTCCAAAGCCTGACAGAAGCCCTCTCCTCGACGGGAGATCGCCGAGGCTTTCCAGCAATCCCACCATCCTGTGGCCAAGTTTGGAGCTGTATTACAGTATACCATCGTATATGACCGACTATTATGTACCATAGTCGCGGTGTCTACACTTGGGAGCTTGGGGGGGAGGGGGGGGGAAACCCTAAACCCTAAACCCCTAGACCCTAAAGAGGGGGAGGGGAGGGGAGGGGAGGGGAGGGGAGGGAACCTTGGGGGGAAAGTGGGAGCCCCGCAGGGCAGCCTCGATGGCCTGCTGTGTACAAACAGCCCATGCTGCCTTGGAGAACTCAAAGCCTCCGACAACCCTGTCTCGTCGTACAGTCCACCAAACGGCTGTCGAGGCTTCAAAATCTCATAATATGGTATAATATAATATACTATATTATACCAAAATCTTCTATAATATACTATAACAAACTATCATATACAATAATATAGTAATAGTATAGTTTTCCACTATATGGCAGGAGCTTATCCGATCCGAGGGGCAGTAGGAGCGAGGTTTTGGACTTCTGCAAGGCCGCCGGAAGGCGATCGCAAACGAGCTCCAGGAGAACTTCGTCCTCGACCTCAGCGCACTTCGCCGCTTTTTTGGTCGCAGTCGGAAGCTTGAAGTTGTGAAGTTCTTATCTCTGCTCATGCATCCCCTCTCAAGCTCGGCACGCCGGGAGTTTAAGACAATGAAGGACCTGACAGGTGGCCCTATAGAGATCATGCCAGCGGGAGCCCTTTAGAGCACGCATCGGCTTTAGGAACCCCCCCTGTAGAGCTTATGGGATTCTGAGATATAGTGCAAGAGCGAGTACGTGTGCAGTTTCTCCGGCGGCAACATGGTGGTCGTTCAGAAGTAACCACAATCCCAGAGGGCCCCGTACCAACACAGTAGGTTCTTACCAGATGTTTGGGATCCCTAAACCCTAAACCCTACAGTTCTTGACCGACCTCCCTCCTTGGCCAGGAACTCTGAAGTAGCTAGACTGTTGTCTTTTAAAACGTTGATTCAGCTGACGCCTGGACCCTAACTGCTCAAACTCCACCATGAGAGATGCTTCCGACAGCATTTCGAGAGACTGGTACCACTGACATCTGTTGCGTAGATGTGCTGCCCGAGTTGTCGAAGGATCAGCTTGCTTCGAATACTCGATCACAAGGACTTTTCTCATAGTTTTCCACGTATCAACGAAATTTCTGGAGCTAATTACGCCGCTGGCACGGCATGTCTTCGCACTTTGCATGCTGAAAATGCGAGACGGGGCCCGTTTGCAGGTTGAAGTCCTCAAATAAAGGACTGCTCATTCCCTAATTAAGGGTCCATGTACCCAAGTAGCATATACTTTGGCCTACTAAAGTAGTCCCTATATAGGTACTTTGGGGCCCAAGTATATACATTTGGCTACATGGACCCTTATTGTTCATTGCCAATCCAAATTTCCCCTCATCAAAGGAACCTGGGGAAACTTCGCCGCGCTCTTTCAATCCTTGCATCCGAATCCAAAACCCTAAACCCCTCCACCGCCAACCCTAAAACAACCCTAACCTTCCAACAAACCTAAGCCACAAAATCCCTAAACCACAAAATCCCTAAACCTTATACCACAAAATCCCTAATCCCTAAACCACAAAATCCCTAATCCCTAACCCACAAAATCCCTAAACTCCCAGCTCTGACGACCCGCAAGGCCAAAAGCCGGGAGACTCGGAGGTGTCGCAATGCTTCCAAAAGATGCAGCACGGCCTGATGGCTATCTTTTAATGTAGGGGCCTTACTACGACTAGAAGATGGTTTGGGGTATACTATACCTTGAATAGGGGTATATTTATAATGTCTGGAATAGGGTTGGGGGGCATGTTCTAGTATTGTACAGCTGTGAAACCTCTTCATTCATGTGTGTGCAAATGTTTTAGACGATATTAAGGGGATGAATACAGGCAACAATGAGAACCCATACCCAGGCTTAAAATTAACAAGGTTTAGAGTTCCCTGGTTCGTGGATCCGGTGATGTGGGGGCTGCTCAGGGATGGGCTGGAGGGCGTCGCCACTAGCCCAGCGCATCTCCTACGACACCGCCATGCAGTGAGAAAGCAACCTACCTGACCACTCCTGGTTGTTGATCATTTCAACGTCCTTACATAATCAGCACCTCCGAAACGGCTGCCATCCAAGACGGGCTATGGTAGCTCCCTGCGGTCGCACACAAGAGGCAACCATGCACCTCTGTATGCAGCTACGTCTACATACACGCGTATGCACTTATGTGTGTAGGTATATGCACATGCATCTCTCTTCCTGGTTCCGAGCGTTAAAAGCACTCAACATGCGTTTTGCAAAAGAATCAGCAAGCCTCGCACACCCGAAACCCAGCTTTCACATGTTCGCCCCATGAGCGGCCTCGGGGTCCAAGCGCCAGTCTCCGTAGCCACGTTGCCGCAATGCCTGTTTGGAAGGTCTGAAGACTCTTGGGCGACTGAGCTTTAAGCATGCAGTTTACATGAACAGTATCATCTTCCCTCTACTAGTAACAAGCCCCTCCGGCGAATAATGTTCGATATTGGGAATCCAGAGAGAGAATGATCTTCGATACAGGGTAGCAACTTCATGGGAGATGCCGGATGTGAATCCTGTTGCTAAAACACTATTCTGAAGTATTGCCTCCACCACTAACATTGGATATTCCGGAGCCTTGAAGCTGCTAAGGGATGAGTATGCTTAGTATCTGTTTTTCTTCGTGTCGACTATTCAGCAGATACTCCTCGGGCACCGGATGGCATGGGCTCATAGACTTAGCAGAAGCTGAATGTCACACCGGGCTTGATAACTTTGCTGATTGGGGCATTCACGGACCGCTGTGTGTAGCTATGGTTCCATGTCAATGGAAGCTACACCCAAACAGGAACAACAACGTCCACGGGAGGGCAAGATATTTAGGGCTACGAACCCCCAAACCGTCAACTGCAGAAGCCTGAACGGTAAACTCCAAAGGGCCTAAGCCCCTGAAACCTTGACCCGGAACCTGAATATCATGAAATATCTTCTCCATAGACTCTATAGACTCTAGACCCCATTATTATGCTAGAACACTTATATGTCTTACAGTAGACCTGAAAAGTAAACGTTGTGGTACTCGTTTTTTGCAACCCTGAGGAACAGCCGGTGTGTTCCAGGCCTGTAAGAGCTCCTCCAAGAAGCTCTGAGGAAGGCTAACCAAACGCATGTCTGCCTTGGGGTGTAGCGTTTTGGGGTGTAGGGTTTAGGGGTTTAGGGGTTTAGGCGTTTGGGGTGTAGGGTTTAGGGTTGGGGGTGGGGTTTAGGCTTCAGGGTTTGAGGTTATGAGAATGGTCTCTGTTGGCGCACTGATTAAACCTAAGGTACACTCTAAGGCATCTGGTGTAGTTTACTCGGCTTATCTTGGGCTGGGATTTGGATCACTTCCTCACCGTGCCCACACTCAAAGACTGTCAATCTATCCACCGGTCGTTCCACCTCTACCGAAGTACACACCAACCAAAACAGCCAAACAGCCAACCAACAAACCCCAACCAACCAGTCCACCCACCAACCCACCAACCGGCCAACCGACCAACCGCAACCCACCGACCGACTGACTAACCGACCAAGCAACCGACCAACCCACCAACCCACCAGCTAACCGACCAAGCGACCAATCAAGCCAAACCCAAACACATAACCTACAGACACACACACACACACACATCCACACCACACACGCAACCACACACACACACACACAATGGCACACACACACAGAGAAACGTGAACACATCTGCGAGGCATATGCTTGGCCATATAGACATAGTCATGGAGTCATGGACACAAACATTAACACTGACGTGTGTGTATATATGTATATATGATATATATATATATATATAGATGTAGATATAGGTATAGATATATGTATGCACACACACACTGTCTCCTATATATCTACATATATGTACACATACATATGTGTATGTATGTATCAAAATGTGCCGGTGGGAATTCGGAAAGCCGGAGCAATTGGATCCTGCGCTGTTTAGGGTGTGGCATCTTCTAGTCGACTGGCCCTACACTATATATTGGTGTGCACGGGTGAACATGGGGATTCCGTTGCTCTGGCACTGCGCACCCGTCCAGAAACTCGCACCGGCATGACCTGCTGTAGAGTCTGTGCCCTCGAACCAGGAGTACGAAGTTGCAGAAATCAGAAACAGTGCAGCGCTTCTGGGTGAAAATGTACTTCAGACTCTGGACATCGGAATACCCAACGCTACCCGGCCTATTAATGATTAGAGCCTCTAGAGCGGGATTTTCGGGCTATTCTTATGCTATGACCTGTAAGTTTCGTGCAGGAATACTAGTCAGTACTTAGACATTCGTCAGACCCCTGCAATCCCCCTTATATCATGGTCAAACTCGGCCCAGTTGCTGGCAGGCGAGACACTGTGGTGAGCACCACGATGTAGTCCTATTGCAATGAGGCTTTTTGGCCCTCTTGGCTGAGTCGCAACGTTTCATGGTACCACAGCACGAATACTCAAAACCGTCCTTGCCTTAAAGCTTGGCCTAGCACCCTGTCCACAAGACTACAGGCCATCAGAACTTTGAGAATTCTAAGCACGCAGACGGGCAGCCAAGCTAGCTCTTCTGCTTCTTCCACCACCACCACCACGTCCGCTGCCGCCGGCACCACCGCCACCGCCACCACCACCGCCACCACCACCAAGAAGACGACTACTACTGCTACTTCTACTGCTACTGCTGCTGCTGACACTGCTGCTGCTACTGCTACTGCTGCTACCACTGGCTTGCTTGCCTATTGGTCATGTCGCTTCTGTCCAGGTGCTTCTCTTCAAGGCTCCTGCGCTGAGAGACGGTCAAGATGTCTCAAGATCGTCTCCTAGGTCTGGGGCCGAAGGCTTCGGGAAACCAATCAGGGTCGAAGATCTCTGCAAGATCAAGGGCTTGGCTTAGCGATGCTTAGGGGGCTCTCCGGTCTCCGGGCTCAGGTGTTGGGAACAGTAGGGCAAGGAACTCCCCCAACCCTAAACCCTAAAAACCCTAAAGCCCTAAAAACCCTAAACCCCCTAAACTCTAAGTAGGACCCAGTGTCGCCTAGCGTTCGGACTGTGCCGATGTCAACCTGCTCGGCTTCAGCGAATGCCACGAGTGCAGAGACGGCCTGGGAGAAGACACTGTTTTAGCTAGTTTAGGGCTTGAAGGGGTTATAGGGGTTTATAAGGGTTCGGGGTTTAGGGCGCATAGGGTTTATAAGGGTTCGGGGTTTAGGGCTTATAGGGTTTATAAGGGTTAGGGGCTTAAGGGGTTCAGGGTTTCGGGGTTTAGGGGTGTTAGGGGTGTTAGGGGTGTTAGGGGTTTTAGGGGTTTTAGGGGTTTTAGGGGTTTAGGGGTTTTAGGGTTTGGAGGGGGTTATAGGGGGTTTAGGGCAGTCTAGGGATCCCTTCGAGCTATTGAGCTCCGCAGCTGAAGCATGCGACAAGAGATGCATCCGGACCTTCCTGCAAATGACTTCCAGACTTGGGCGATCGCTGCTGTTTCGTTGAAGATCTACCGTCTTCCGATCTCCACAACTGCAAGCACAGGAGCGTGTGTCCCAAAGAAGACGTGGCTCAGCTGCGATGCGCGCCTTCTGAGTGCCTGATGGATCTCTTCTGGAACACATGTGCAGAGCAGTGGTACTGTACAGAGCCGGGTGGCATATTGGGATCCATCTCGAACAACTAACCATAATAAGGACCCCCAAGGAATAGTATTGGATATTTGTTGAAGCGTTTTTGAGGCCTGTATATTAGACATCAGCAGGCCGAAACTTGTCACCAGCAGGGTCAAGGGTTTCCTGCCCTAGTAGCCCTAGCACGTCTGCGCAAGCCCAGCATGTTCGAAGGAATACCGTGGAACCTCGAAGAGAGGAGCATCCGCCACATTGCCTGGGAGTGGGTTCTGGGAGTATGTGCTGAAGCTTAGGTGAGGCCTGCAGGTTCTGACAATACCTCCGCAAGGATGGCAATGCCAATGAGCTCAATTGCGTTTGGAGCCCGGGGCAAAGGGCGGCAGCATGTGGGATGATTGCAGGGCTTGGCATTTCATCATTACCTGACACACCCGAGTGGCAAGCATTCAGACCTCGGAGAACACGTGCCAGCTGCTTGGGCGAGAGCTCGTCGACCAAGCTTTTCCTTGAGTCTGTGTGACCGCGAGATATCTTGGTGCCATAGATCTTGTGTGTGTGGCTAATGTAGGGGCCTTAATAACTAGAATAGGGTTTTAGGGTCCATGATGATACAACTATAATAAGGAAGCCCCCCAAAAATAGTATGGGTAATGATTTTGTCCCGGCCCGTTCCTGGCTTTCAGCTTGTCGAGTGGAGACTGACTCGCATGTGGTGAAAAACGTGTAGCCGAAAACACCCCTGTTGCAAAGCTCGGCGATGACGACGACCACGACGATGCAAGAGTACAGAAGCAGCAAACGCTTGCAAGCGAATCTTACATAACTAAACGAGATTATGGTGATGATGGTGATGAGAATAGTGATGATGATGGTGGTTGTGGTGTTGGTGATGACGTCGGTGATGATGTGAGGGAATACTGAAGTAATGGCAAAACGGGTGACACTGATTGTCATGGCGATGGCCTTGATGATGGTGGTGATGCTGATGATGCAGGCAGCAAGGTGCGGTTGTGACAAGCATCATTGCTACTAGCGACAAGCAACATCACCGTCGACATTACGACCACCCAGCATCATGATGACAACGTACATGTGAATCTTTTGGCTTTATTGTCCGTCTCTTCTTGCTTCGGACCTCCTGTTGTTCCAGCTTCGTTTTCTTGGTGGAGTAGGAGTAGTTCCTGGCGGTCTCTCCTGGTTTGACAGCGGGGCGTCAGCTGCTGCGAAATGGCCGGAATCAGCTCGGGCACGGCGTAGGAGACAGGTGAAAAGATCAGCAAGGCCACCTGGGGCACGGGTTGCCTTAAAGGAAACTATATAAGGAGTTCTATAAGGCTTACTATAGGGGTTCCTGTATCGATTCAGATGCGGGAGAGTCCGAACATGTGAGTTCAGGATCTGGCATCTCCATTTTGGCGTCAGACATGCCGGTGGTCCTAGGGTACTCGACGGGAGGTTGAGCCAAGAATACCGCGGCGATATTGCGAGTCCCAGAGCTCAGGGCTAGAAGAGAGAGTGGATGGGTGATTTCCTCGAACTGCGGAGCAACTGCAAGCTTGAAGGTTCAGCGAAGTGTCGGAAATGAGTTTTGCCCATCTCAGGTTTGCTTCTACCTCTTATCTTTCTTCCCACTGCTCCAGCCTTTTGAAGTAGAGATGATTGCAAAAGGAGAAATGTATTCTGAGCCCTCGGCCGATTTTGTTTTTGTATGACATAAGGGCATGGCAATGTTTCCTGTCTGCCGGTAAGAGGACATGCAGAGGACATGAAGGAAGAGAGTGCGAGTCTGTTTGCCGGCACCTTCCCATACTCAGTGCCGAGGGGCAGACACCTCATGCGCGCCCATGTCCCTCACTTTGGACTGCAGGGTGTCCGCCAGGTCGGCAATGAAATCGGTCTCGGCTGCAGAGGCCTTGGCAAAGGACTCGGCCAAGGTACAAAGGTCTCGCGGTCCGAAGTCCAGCAAAAAGGATCGTGCGGCAGGCATCAGGTAGTCTTTGAAGGTGTCGTTATCGGACCCACCTTCACAAAGCGCGGCTGCAAGCTGCACCACAGCCCTTGGGGTGCAGAGGTGCACTTGGTGGTGCACAGCCCTATCGGCCATCTCCAGGAGTTTTGGAGGGGTGCTTCGCAGCGCCTGAAGCCCTGCAGCTGCTGAGGCGATCTCGTTCACTGGCAAGGCCTCACCTTGCACGATGCACTGTGCCACACCTTTAGCCAGCTGCACTCCACCAGAACTTCGCAGCTTGACAAGGGCCGGGACCAAGGTTGCAGCAGACTTCGGGGGCAGCTCTTGACAGCGAAGCTCCAGGGTGGAGACCAGCTTCTGTTGCAAAGCCAAGCCCACCTTGGACGCTGAAAGCTCCGCAGAAACAGCAAGGCTCGCCAACACGAGGCTTGTCTGGGCAGGGCTCAGGTCGTCGAGCCGGTCTTTGGCCACTCGCACCAAGGTGTCGGCTGCCATGGCTGCTGAGCTCGCAAGAGCATTTCCAGAGCCCAAAGCCCCGAGGCGGGCCAGGCCACTCATGGCCGCAGGGAGGACCCAAACCTCAGTGCCTGGCATGTGGTCGCCAAGAGTCGTCAGCATGGGCGGCAACCGCTTGTCCCGAAGTATCGGCAGTCGCTTTGAGCCTGTGGCCTGTTTGGCCAGAAGCTGCAGCGACATTGCCAGCTGCCTGGGCGACGGATTGATTCGAGGTTGGTCCTAATTATTATTTGGGCCAGTCATGCACTGTCAAGAAACCAACATAGCAACACTCGGGCAACCTTGACACGCACGTATTTCTCTTATGCTAAGCTTTCTGTTAGCACAACACGAGCCGACTGAGCAAAACAGCACTCACACATACATGGCCATACATGCTCCAGAGGCAGCATATGTAATCATCCGCCCGACGACTTTTCCAGTCAGTGCTGCGTGACAAAACCGCAGCAAAGTGCCACAAGTGACGACTATAGCCCCTTGGAGACCTGCATATGTCTGTAAGTCTTCATCACACGCTTTTTAGGTTGATAATTATGAAAGGGTTTGAGGGTATATTACCATAGTAGCAAGTGTTTATTTCATACTAGTCTCAAGGAACCCCCAAAAACAGTAGTGGTAGTATTTAGGCCCCAGTATAAGAGCGAAAATCTGAAGCCAAAGGTGCCCCAATCGCCGCGCGCGCTGCGCAGAATCGGTTTCAACTCTCACTGCCTGCGTAAAGGAGTCAGGGTTTAATATTTGGGGTTTAGTTTAAAAATGAGAGGTTGGGGTTTGCTTGTGGTTTAGGGTCTAAGGATCAAGGATTAGGGATTCGGGGTTAGGGTTCAGAGAGGAAGGGGCAAGGAAGTCAGAGCTTCTGCACATTCGTTGGAGTTCCCATCATATAGTAGTGCAAATCATTCGCAGCCCAAAGACATCAAAAGACACATGTTATTAGTGTATAGTATAAAAAGTATATATTATAATATATCATCATAAAATGGACGCACATGCGTGGACCTGCTTACCACTTGTCTGTTCGGGAGACCTATAGCTATTCGCAGATGCAATGTTGCCAGCTCCCTTTGTTCCACAAACACGTGTTCTAGTGTGGACTGGTTCCTATACTGACCGTAAGAGATCGGACTCCAAACAAACAAAGATCCTGAATAGTAGGATACTTGAGGCCATGACCCCGAAATACAAGACCCCTAATTTGTCTGTTGACATCTACTTCGACGCTCATGGACGGATGTGCAATGTGTGAGTAGCTGTTCAAGACAATGTTGTTTCTCCTCGTACTTGGTCATGAAAGAACGAAATGACCCTAATGCCTCCGACAGAAGCAATGCTGAAGGCAACAGGGCCTGTAAATTCTAAGGAATATAGAGGTCGGAACATTTCGAAATTGTATGATTCCTGAGCGTTCTGATGGTTAACTATAACATATTTCAAAGCCCCATTCTAAGCACCAAACTATATTCCCCAAAATATTCAGCTCTCAAGCCTCCACAGCCCGTGCACCGAGGGCCAAGACCTTTTGCAAAGGATGACTTCCTAGTTTTAACACAAATCTGGGAGCGTTTGATGCTTTAAGGTTAAGAACAGTCGGGCTAGCGAGGAATTGCAGGAATGTGATACCTGTTTTGTGGGGGACTTCATGAATCAAGTCAATAGCCAGTTCGGCAAGAGATTTGGAATGACTATGCACACTTGCAGGGTATTGGCTTGATAGGCCTCTAAAGGTACATTCCACAGTAATTTAGGGCAAATTTTGTTTTTTGGTTCAGGCCGTGCCGGGATGTTGTTTGGTTTATCATTTAGCTGCACACGCCAACACCCCGAAGCCCTGAAACCCAAGCGTCCAAGACACCCAGACCTCGCATCCCACAAACCTCTTCGCTTAGCAATACGGCATTCAGCTCGCGGAGAGATGAGCCCAGCATTCTCACATGCAGAAAGCCGACAAACCCCTGAAGCGCGCCACATTCCTGTTCGGAAAGCGACACTATTCAGGTTCTGATAACACGTGTATTCAAGCTCTCGCAAAAGAAATAACATGTGCTTAGCTCGATCACACAAATCTCCCAGTCCCCTTCCCAAGCACTCAACTGCTGGCGCCTCCCCTGCACTTCGCGCCGAGTGGAGACGCTCGGCCACAGCAACAGCATGCTCTGGAAGGCCTGGCACCTGCGACAAGGGCACGGACGAATGTGATGGTTAAGACTAAAGGTAGGACGATTAATTCTCAAGGCGAACATGACACACACAATAAGAACAGAATCAGAACGACTGACTGAAGTGAAGATTAACAAGAAGAAGACGATGATGATAACACTGACGAGAATGATGGTGATTGCCGTGATGCCGCTGATAAATCTAGTGATGCTCCTGGCGGCATTGTTGGTGGCTGTGGCGGAAGAGGACGAGGAGGAGGAGGAGGAGCATGTCGCAGCCAATAGCAGCCCACCCTGCTTGCGTACCAAGATGTAGTTGCCGAGGCAAACTCCGCCAAAAACACAGGCGATCCAGGTCCTACCTGTGAGAAAGCGCTCGTAGCTACTGCGCAGCAAAAGCTTTTGGCTGTCCCTGGGTGTCTCGTCCAGAAAAGTCGAAGAGAGGCAAGAAACCAAGCGTCGTCTCGGTTGGAGCTGTTCCTTGACTCGCCTTGTGTAAACATAAAAGTATATGCTGGAGAAAAACACTGTGGCATAGTCGGCTCACCATCCGCTTGTTTCGCAACACTAGGTCACTAGGCCTAGGCGTAACCCAAGTACTGCTCCCTCCACCGCGCGGAAATGTTGAAGGAAACCCTACCGCTTACCTCCAGCCCGTCCAGAACTTGCTGTCGAAGGAGGCCCGGGAATTGGGGCCCGGCAGGGCAGTCCACAGAAGCACGGGGCTCCGAAACACTTTCAAATAGTTCAAGCAGAAAGAGCTGCGCCCGAAGCTTGGTTAGCACAGCGAAGATGCCTTCTGTGAACCGCAGCGGCAACAGCAACAGCAACAGC